AGCAGCGTAAATTTTTCTGATTCTACAACGCTCCTGGTCGGCTAAACGTATTCTAGAGAGAGGGCTTTTATTTCATGACAACAAAATACGATGAAGTGTTTATCAACGCCTTCTTTCACAATCGTTCTGCACCATGGGTGCACGCGTTTATAACGTCTGTGACACAATACAATGTAAAAAAGAATCACTTTCTTTTTTATTGCGACAGCGATTTGCCTTTAAGGCATAATATTTTTGTTAAATGTGTGCTGTTAGGCCGCTGTTGTGCATGAAGTGAAGTAGTGCCTTGTGGAATCTGTTTTTATGTATCCAGCGGTTGTAACTGGCTGTGTCACTGTACCGAAGACCGGCTTGATCGAGGTGACGGGAGCGTTCTGGCTGCAATTCTTTACATGTCCATAAAAGGTGGTACGTATCTGCTTGCATCGCAAGAGTGGGACAATACGGACACGTATCATTAACTCGTAAATGTGACCGGTTCCGTGGCGATATAACGATCGGTGTAAGGGCCACCCCTGCCCGAAGCCTCCTAAGCACAACTTCCTCCACCCTAGTAAGGTGAGGGGAAAGAGAGCAGACACACGGTGGAATGAAAGCACGTGTATCCTGCCGGAGAACATTTTTACGGGTATGAAGTAAGTTTAGGGGCTGAGGTGGAAGGGGAATGGCTTGAAGGTCTATCTACGTGTGGAGTGCAGTGCACCTGCTGGTAAGCAGCAATGTTGTGTGGGTTCGCGGCATGGCCTTGAATCCAATGTGCCTTTGCGCAAGTAGCCGTATTATAGTTCAGCTTATGAATCGCCTGGCAGATCTCCATTGCCTTGTATGTTCTTCGGCTCCTTGATAGCTCCTAAGGAATTGGTGTATACGTCAATCTGCTTAATTGTGGGTAGCTTAGAGGTAGCATCCTGGATTGCGTCGTGGATCGCTTGAAGCTCCACCACAAGAGGAGTGGCTACCATAGATAGATAACGCTGATGGCCTCTGACAAAAGTATGCGTGGTACTCAGGAATGATGTCTTTACGCCGTCTTGCAGGATAGCAGCATTTGTATATAGTTTGCAGATATGAGCGCATAGGGCCTCGATGATGGAGCGTTCGTGAAATGTAGATGATGTATCGGAGCGCCGTAACTTGTTGTTTTATTAGATGTGATGTGGTGAATTCCCAGGGAGCCGTAGACTCGGGCTGGTTGTCAATGCGAGAGCCACGTTGAAAGTGAGCATGCAACTCAGCAACAACCGGTACAAGTTGCCTTTTGATTTCACGAGCTTTTTCCTTTGCGAAACCAGCTCTGCAATTGTGTTAAGCTGGGCGTGCTCCGGCAAAGTTGGTATGGCAGTGATGCGAGGCGACGCTGTTATTGTGCACATAGCATCACGGTTATTAGTTCTGCAACTACGCCAACTGAATCAAAGTTAACCGTTGAAATTGCGCCCTGGTATAAATTCTTGTCTGCAAACTGTGCAGACGAGCTGTCGAGCTACATGTGTACGAGCTCCAGCTGCGTTCGATGCAATGCAGCGAATCAGATGAAGTGTTTTAGTGGAACTATGTGTGGCTTTTCAAAGCCAGTGCACTCCACTGCTTGACTGGTGTATATCAAGACCTAGTATGAGGACCTCAGAAGTCTGAGGAATGATCACTGCCCATAGTGTAAATGTAAAGGGGCACTGCTTGATTTTTCTGCGTCCTGTTCTGTTAGCTACCTGAACATAGAATGATTTTGGGCGGACATGTCTAACCCTGCGTTCCGAGTGTAGCTCTGAACAACATCAAGGGCTTTCTGAAGCTGTTATGCTTGTCTTGAGACGTCTTTATGCACACAACATAAAGTCACATCATCGGCGCATATTATAAATGTCACGTCTGAAATTCGGTGTCTATGCTAACTGCATTTCATCATATGCTTACAGGAATAGGGAAGGTCAACCCGTTACCCCATACATGCAAGTCCTTGGAAACGTCGGGAGGACACGGAAAGTGATTCAAGTCGAGGCGTCATTACGTGCGCGCCAACATTCTAGGAATTTCTTATTCCCCCGTTGTGTTCACAAGCCCGCATAGTTGCGTTGTCCAGTGTCAAAAATATTCTTGTATTTGAGCATTGTTCGTCAAGGAACATAGAAGCGTTTGATTAGAGAGAAGGGCACATGAAGGTGAACATTTGGCTGTCTTACCTGTTTGGTTGGGAAAAATTCGCTCCAGTCTCCCCCCCCCCCCCAAAAAAAAACTTTATTCATGGCCATGGCAGCCACACTGGTGGTGGTGGTCATAGTTGGAAGAAGAAGGTGCACAATTTCAGCAGCTAATCCCCCTGAGTGGGTGTGAGCCATGAGTCCAGGAAAACAAACAAAATCTCAGCTAGGGATCGAGCACAGCACAGCGCCTGTGGTTAGGCCGAATGGGAGAACAGTGGATAGTAAAAAGGTTAGAGGTTTTTTTCTTCCCTCAGGCACCGCCATCATAATCAATGGAGAGTGAGAAGGGACAGGGGTCAATCCTCTCTTGCTTCACCTCGCCTGGTAAACTGCCGGACTTTAAATAAAGTCTATTCATTCATTCATTCATTCATTGTCACTGCTCTATAGTTCACTCCTTTCCTCCTCTCTTCTTCGTCCTGACATCACGACGACTACCAAATATATCTCAAGGCCACTTATACAATCAAAATTATATTTTTCCTTAAAATGAGCGCGTTTATGCGTTTCAAACGTGTGTACCAAACACATCGCCTTAGCTCATTTCACTACATTCATAAAAAATTAACGCTGATTTCAGTTATTCATGTTTGAATAGTTCATCTTACACGATCGATCCAAATAATTCATACGCAGTGTTAGACCATGATTTGGCTATTATTAAAATGAAAAGCGCACGAAATTACCTCCTATGTTTACTGACAAGAAAAAAAGATTCATTAATCAGTAACGTCAACTTGTAACAGTTGTTACCTATTTTAGAACCAAACCACAACTAAGATATTTTCCATTATTGTATATCAAAGCTGCTCTCTCAATATTGCAGGGGTGTGAATAATAATACCTAAGTTATGTTAAGAAAAAAGCTCACACAACGCATTATTGCGATTCCCGCTCACATGTTTACTTAGATCCTTGAAATTAGCCTATTATTGATAACCTGTATGGTCATCAACCTAGAGGTACTCAATCTTAGCCCTAGCTGAAAAGATCAACAGAAATAATCCATGAAAAGCTTGCTCACTATTTTTGCGCCACACCAGCGACCACCGGGTCACTCAACACTCGCGAGATCATAGTGTGTCATTCGCTGCCAGGATCCATTACATGATTACCGTTACTACAACTTCCTTTTGTCGATGACAACCTTCGTCGCTGTTCTAGTCACTTGTGATACCTAGAAGGTGCACATAACGATCTTTTTTTCTCGAACGTGGACAAACGCTTCGCAGAATCCTCGCTGTACCAGCTTGGCCTGTGCCATGTTGGTTTGTTGGGTACGGCCATCCGGCTATGCCGGCAAGGCTGCCTACGTCACTCCTGCAGAAGCCAATGAAAGTCGCTGAGCGATGCGCCGGAGCATTTCAGAGCATCCACTGGAGCAAAAACGAGCGCTGGAGCGTTCGCGGAGCAACCACGGGAGCATATTCAGGGAACGGGTCCCGTTTTCCGGTGGTTTCATTCGTCTGTCGCACACCGGAGAAAATGATGGAAAACTAATGTATTTGGTCCGGTACATCCCAGTTCGAGTGCAAACACTGGAGAAGAGCGGGCGCATTTTTTCTCGGCTTTTTTCCAGCTGGGTATGTTTTTGTTTACAGTGTAGAGTTTCTCAGGGCACGTTTAGCGCATACGTTAAAACACTCTGTTCTGGAATTTGAAGACACATGTTCGGTAGCCAAGTGACATCGAGGAAATTTGTTGAGACCTTTCATGTGACACATTGGGAGACGTACGGACAGACATTCATGCCATGAATCGTCCTGGCAACGGGTAGAATCTTAAAAATAAGGCAATGGTGCGATTATAACATGCAAAAGCAAGTGCCTTATGATAAAAAGTCATTGTAAAACAAAACAAAGCGTCATTCGCATCTGAGCTTTTCACAATAGCGCTTTATTTGTAACCACAAAAGAAGCCTACCTGTAATTTATGCGACTGGTTTCATGGGTAGCGGACCAATCATAATGATGAATAAACTACATTATTGACAATATTTAAGGTGCTTGCTGCATTCGAAACGTGTTAGTCTGTAAAGTCACAATGCTTCTGTGTTAATGCAGATCTGTTGACACATTTTAACTAAATCAGTGCATACGTGTGTAGCGCAGCTTTGTGCAGCTAAAATATGTGCAGTTTCGGGTGCTGCCCGAGAGCCTCTATTGTGTATCCTGGTGCCGATAGGACCTACCGAGCCACCTCCAGGCCACTATAGTTGCCCCCATTGGCACCTATCTGCCCTACTATACATGCGTTGGCCGCTCTCGCAGCTCACTTTAGTTCAATTTTCAAAAATCAAATGTAATTTGTTTGTCTTGAGGCTTTCAACAAGAGTGGCGATGTGGGCTTGTTAGTGATGTGGCTTTCGTCTGCGCTGCTTGAGCATGGAAGAGACGCAGCGACCCCCTACCTGCAAGATTTAGGACCAGCTGGCCGTAACAATGTGTCCTTTTTGGACTGTGTTAATGTGGACACACTCGCGTAATACACTATCCTGAGAGACTGACAAACTGGTTCTTAGAAATATGTGTGCTAATTGCTATTGTTTTTAAGCACTTCAACGCAAACGTCCACACAACTTTCAATATTTCTTCAAGCTGAATGTATTTTGTGAAAGCCTTGCATTGCAGCAGTTTATTTGTCAAAGAAATTGTGAAAAAACTTGTTGGAATAACTAATTAGCAGTGTTTTAAGAATACCAGAAAAACATTCTGGTATTCCTAAAACACTGCGAATTCACATAGCATATGACACCTAGTTATAATTGCTTTCTTTATCCTGAAACTCATTTATTTACAGCATACACACCAAGGAATGACGTGGAGCGTCCATCTTTGATCCTGGAAAGTAGCTATGAAGACTATGGTTAGTATGTTCTAAACTCTCATCACTGTAATTAGTATAATTTTTGTGCGCTGTTCTTTAAAACTTAAGTAAGATGCCACTCCGAATTTTCGCAATACAATCCACAAAGAAATTTCCTCGAAATTGCATAACAAGTATGTTACTATGAAAATAAGGACTATTTGCAATCATGTGGTTCACACAGCCTATATGGAGCAGGACCAATATTGCCTTTGCCCACTCATTAGCTGGCTCCCCAGCAAGAAAGCTGTCCCCCTCAGTTGGCTAAATAACGGGTATCAGCAATATTCAGGTTTAGGCTTGTGAGTCTGTGCCATATAACAAAATGGGGACTAGAAATCAGGCATGTAGTCAGATTTTTTTGGAGGGGAGGGGTTGAGGGCCTAATTGTTCAAAAGAAACTTCTTCCATAATAAAAAGAGCAAAAAAGTTGCCCGGGATTACAAAAGCCGCTGAATTATTTAAAAAAAAACAAGAAGAAGGTAGAATGCAGTACAACCGGCGAATTAATCCACGGTGGAAGGCAAGTTTTTTTTGTTTGATTGAACAGGTTTTATTTCTGGACAGATAGAGAAAAACGAAGCCAAGCTTAGGGCCATTCGGCCTGACGTGGCTTCGCTACGCGAACATTGCACTAAAGCTAGTGCATGTGCTTGAGACTGAATGATTTTCAAAAGTGTCGGGCGCTTTCCCTACCAATACCAAACTTGCGAGAAGCACATGAGCTATTTCACGGCCTTAATTTTTAAACAAAGACGTGTGCATTCAGGGAAACAATTTATTCAACAGCAAAGAACCAAAGCATGATTTCCTTAATGACACAAAAGACGCAGAACGCAAACATTTATTTTAGGGTAAAATCTGAAAAAATGACATGGTGAATGAACTTCAATTTAAATAAAGTTAATGCAAAATGGGAATAAAGCGAACATCTGAAAGCGTGAGAACAGCATGAAAATGTGAAAGGGCGAATTAAGTCACACAGTGAGGAATAGGGCTACTTTTCCCAGCGAACGGCAGTAGTGCATTGCTTCCGTGGCCCTATCTGATGAGGCATTTCGGTAAATCAGTAAAACCATGTTGCGGCCGTGTTTATAAGGAGTTTGAATGCACCATTCCACAGAAATTATTATTCTATTAGAGATCTTTTAGAGTGTTCGGTCATTGCTCATACGATGAACGTTACCTGTTTCCTTATAGAATGGTGAACATCACAGTAACATACGTACAACGGCGTAAGTAACAAAGGTTGTCGTTCGTTTACTTTTTCGAGAGTGATGTGCAAGTTCGCCATATGGCTCTGCCGTCGGCATGTCTTAGGCCGCACATCCGCTCCGTCAACTGGTTGGCGACCTAACCACAATAAATTGTTTCTCGTGTTTAATCCTATCTCTACGTGGGTGCCTGCCTGATAACACTGACAGCGAACAAATGTTGGTCGGGTTAGAAGAGGCTCTAGGAGGATCAAATGGGTTAATTTCATTTCATACACAAGCCTCTTTTCCAAGCTTTCAGTGTATGTAGGGCCTTGGGCTTTCTCCCTCGGTGCACGTTCTTCGGCAGTATATAGAGAGCATGTGTTGATGACATGTAGACAAAATTAGAGAGTGGGTTGTTCTTTTCTGCTGTTCAATCACGGGCTGCCTCACGTAGTCACAAAAGCCCACTACAGGAGGCGCAGAAGTGTACAGGGGAAAGCTAGTCAGGCCCAAGACATGTGGCCTGTGATTATTGAAGCGCAACAGGAAAGCTCTTTTCACTATATTCTTACGATGTATTTATTCCTTTGTTTAATTTGAAATAAATGATTCTGATTAGCAGAGATTACGACCTTGTGATTCATACGGGACATTGCAAAGCACGACGAACAATCTCACATGGCCCCGTTCAGGTATGGGCGGCGGCATTGAGCATGTTCATTCATTTTGTTAACGCCCGCACAGCGGCGCCACCGACTCAGTGCCTGGTTTCCGTAACACGATGTTCGTGAGCGGCAACATGAAAACTTTGAGCTTAATCTTTCTAAAAATGTTAGATGCGAGGCATCCTGCAGTCGAGCTCAATAAGATGTGCGGCGTGACCACCTTTTCCACGCATGAGCGCCCCTCCCCATCTCGGCTCTCTCCTGGGCCTACCCATACATACCAGCACCGAGCGTCTGCTTGAGCTTGGCATTCACAACACGCTCGAAGAAATAGCAGAAGCCCAAGAGAGAGCACAGTTTGCAAGGTTATCTACAACAAGGTCGGGAGAATGATCCTGCAGGAGCTGGGCCAACACCCAATGGCAATCAGGCACAATTACAAGATATCCCCGACAACATCAGGAGAATATCACGGTGTCTCTATACCAAGAAACATGCATCCAGAACACAACGTCGGAAGAAGAGTAGCGAGGGCCAGGACTATACTTCGTCAAGTCTCAAACGAGGAACGAGGGGTCGTATTTGTTGACGCGGGTTCCTACGCCAATGGGAAAGCGTTTGTGGCAGTGGTGGTCGATGGGGCTGGCCATGTCGTCAACTCAGCGACGGTCAGGACGAAAGACCCAATCATTGCGGAACAGGTGGCCATCGCCTTAGCACTCAAGATGAATAACATTGAAGTCATCTACAGTGATTCCATGGCAGCACTACGGGCGTTCGCCAAGGGGACGGTCTCTGAACAAACGCTGAGAATACTGCAAGGCAAAAACGTAACGCATCATCTTCTGAGTTGGTTCCCAGCTCACCTTGGGCAAATCAATGATTCCCCTCCCAATCTGAATGAAGCAGCACACGAGGCGGCGTGAGAACTCTCCAACCGCGCCTCCCCGGGGATGCGTTGTACCGGTGAAGGGGATAACCGGGAAATTCTTACAACATATAACGAGCTCACTGAACATTTCTACCTGTCTAGAAGGATTTTCCCTCCCCCTCACAAAAATCTAACCCGGCCCCAAGCACTTACATTAAGGCTTTTGCAAACGCGGATGTACCCTACTTTGAAAATGTTACACATCATGTACCCTGACCTATACCCAAGTAATCTTTGTCCACATTGTGGGGAAATAGCTTCATTAGAACACATGCTCTCGCAGTGCATCAAATTCGCTCATATATCGAACATCACCTCTGCCAGATGGAGGCGGCAATCCGCAGCTCATCCTTGGCAGATCAGCTCTGGGCTGTCCGCCAAGCCCGCGAGGCGGCTGAGGAGCTTGGCATCTCAGTCCACATGGGAGCTGCCCGCAGCACAGTGATCTGTCTTTTGAAGGACCAAATAAAAGTTTATCCAATCCAATCCATCTCGGCTCTCTAGCGCCCTTTCTCTCGCCTCACAACGGCAACGCACGCAGCGTCTGCTAGCGATTTCTTGATTGAAAAAAAAGGAAGATCTCGCGTACAGTGGGAATCTATGATATGCGAAGCATGAATGAGGAGGGTTGATATGTCACTTTAAAATCAGCACAACGTTACCAGGTGGAGGTATGTTATGCTGTATATCCCTTCTTTGTCATGATTAAGACGTTTGAACGTGTCATTTGCCTACATAATCTATTAACGTAACCTGATACTAAACTGGTATATGTGGAGATAGCAAAATGGTCACGATTGGTCATGAATGGCCCAATACACTCCGACGTAACGTTGCCGTGTGTTCACGCAGGGCACAGCGACGCTGAGCTAGCAAAACGCGAGCACTACTCGATTGTCTGACGCCAGGCGTGACAGGTGCGACCAGCGTCCGTCGGCACAGCCCTGCGGCAACTGTCGCGACATGCGACAAGCTGCATTTCGAGCCGATGACGTTACCGAGACAGCACTGCGTCTGCCTCTTCAATACGGAGGGACGCCAGCCGCGCTCAAACGCGCGTGCGTCTAAGCAACGCAGCGCGACTCGCACCTTAAGGCAGGCAGATTGGCGCCTGACTTGGCATCGCCGTCTTGACGTGACGAAACGAACGCCGGCACGCACGCATGCCGGGTCCTGTCGAATTGTAATGGTGCCTTGCGTGTGACATGCCGTCATGTTCTTACACGAAACGCATCTCATGATCATCATATTTACACCAATCAGATACCTTCGTCATCATTCACGTGATATCAAATTTGCTATATGTGAGGCTAGCGAAACGACCATGCATCATGAGCGTGCATGTAGTCATGTTCTAAGATGACACGCATCTCACGACTATTGTGTTTGCACCAGTCACATACTTTTGTCATGCATTCACGTCCCATAATACCAAATTTGGTATATGAGACCTAGTGAAACGGCCGCGAGCGCATTATAAGTGTGCCATGTAGTCATTTTATTGCATGACACGCATGTCATGATTTTCATGTTAGGGTCTGTCGTTAGTGTTCAGCATGCGGTCATGTCATACCATACCAGCTTTGCAACATGCCGTGTGAAGGAAACCTCATGAAAGCAGCAAGACCATAAAATGTATATCATGACATTCATGACATGCATATCATGATAATCAAGTTATACCAATGAATTATGCTCGTCATACAGTCATGTTATGCCACACCGTAATCGGTATTGATACCATTCTTGAAACGGCCAGGAGTGCTAAAAGTCGTAAGCGGATAGTAGATGATAGATAGATAGATAGATAGATAGATAGATAGATAGATAGAGACAGACAGACAGACAGACAGACAGACAGACAGACAGACAGACAGACAGACAGACAGACAGACATATAGATACGCTCAACCGTTCACTGGCCACCCGTTATACAGGAATTGATCTTGAACTGCAGGGTGGGAGATTGCTCCTGTGCATTGTTGAATATTAAAAAAAATGGCAACATATCCAAGGAGTGAATGATGGAGAGTGGGGCAAAGAATTCGTCCGTCCATTCGTTCTTGCTTCAGTACGTCCATGCGTCCGTCAGTGTGACCGTCCTTGCGTCCATCAGCCCGTCCGTGCGTGCGTCTGTTCGTGCGTCCGTCCCTGCGTTCGTCCATGCAGCCGCCCCTGCGTCCGTTCATGTGTCCATCCATGCAACAGTCTATGTGTCCGTTCATCCATCTCTTCAACACTCCAAGTACCACCATCTCGCATCTTTTCATAATATATTCACCATATAGAAGCACCGCCATCCAGCGGACATTCCAAGGACTAAAACGAGATGGGGCACACGCACACTTTCTTACGGCAAGCTTCGGGTCCACTTCCCACCTTTAACCACCTCGAGTTCATGGTATATACTAGTTCACTGTATTCATGGCACTGTGGCCGAACGCTCTCTAAACCTTTCGAAAACCAAGGAGGTTACGCCCAGCGAGTATGACGTAGCAAACTTTTTCAGTCAGATAGTGCTCAATGTACATGCCAATGGCTAATAATGGGAAATGAGAGGCGGAGAATTCGGCTTATACTTTCTTACAACTTGCGCTTCGTATCTACTTCCCATTTTAACCACCTCGAGTTATTCATGGTATATACAAGTTATTGTATTCATGGAACTGCGGCTCAACGCTCGCTAAACTTTTCTAAAGCTAAGGACGGTACACCCAGCGAGTATACAGTAGCAACCCTTTCTTGTCAGATAGTGCTCAATACATGCCAATGGCTGCTAAGGGTGATCGCAGCCTGTGTGTAACTAAAAGCCGAATGCTCCTGTCTCTTATTCCCATTAGCAGCCATTTACATGTACATTGAGCACTATTTTTTATGTTTAAACACGCACGGAAGTAGTCTCTCACCGGCACCACCTTGGAGGTCAAAATGTATACTTGTTACATACTACGGGGACGTACGGGTGCCGTTATAAGAAGTTTCGCCCCTAAAATTCACAGCATGCGTATTAACTAAAAGCGGACGGGTCTCTGTGGCCAAGCGGAGGCCTGTATCTCTCATGGAATGTTTCAGTAGAAACATCGGTTCATCACTGCGTGCTTTGCGGCTGCCCAGGTTTCCATCCTGCACAACGCCGCTATGAGCAATAATGCCAACGCCGTCGCCTGTGTAAGCGTTACTACCCGCTGCTTCGCATCTACACGTGGTCTCCTCTAACGGGAGGTAGTGTATTTAATTCTGGGGACTTCAAGACAGCTGAAGGCCTACCTACGTGTTAGCAAAGTACGAAAAGCTCCCTGCTAGTTTCAAGAGTGACTCAGACGATGCGTTGCCGTAACTAGTCGTGAACGCCACGAGTCCAGGATCGCGAAGCGAGCGATTTCACCGCAACGACAAGCGTTCTGGTAATTTTCTACGTGCTTTGTATATTTCAAATGGTCGAAAAGGTCACAATCTCACCCACTCCTGTGAAAGCAAAACCTGAGAATAATGCGAGCAGATGGCCTATCGGCATCGCTTTCGCTTCACAGCGTATGCTGGGAGATTTGTTCGGGGGTAGAATATTAACGGCTGAGGGTATCCTGTCCCAAAACCGCAAATAATTATGAGAGACCTCCGAGCTCTAGGATGATGGACCTTCTGGGGTTCTTTACCGTGCACCTAATCTAGGCACACGCCCCTCAAGCATTCTCGCTTCCATTAAAAAATTGGCAGCATATCCACTTTCTTGTCAGAGTGTATGATGCAGAGTGGGGCGAAGCATTCATCCGTCCATGCGTTCTTGCTTCCATCCGTCCATGCGTCCGTCTGTGTGGACCATCCATGCGTCCATCCGCCAGTCCGATGTCGTGTGCGTGCGTCTGTTCGTGCGTCCGTCCCTGGCGTTCTTCCATGAATCCACCCCTGCGTCCGTTTCAGCGTCCATCCATGCATCTGTGTGTCGTTCGTCCTGCTATTCAACACTCCAAGTACCACGATCTCGCATCTTTTCATCATATATTCCCCATATAGAAGCACCGCCATCCAGCGGACATTTCATGGGACGAACAAGAGGTGGCACACGCACACTTTCGTACGGCTTGCGCTTCGGGTCTACTTCCCACCTTTAACCACCTCGACTTTATGGTATATAAGGTTCACTGTATTCATGGCACTCGGCCCAATGCTCGCTAAACCTTTCTAAAATCAAGGAGGTTGCGCCCACACGAGGTATAACGTAGCAACCCTTTCTTGTCAGATAGTGCTCAATGTACATGCCAATGGCTGCTAATGGGGATCGCAGCATGCGCGTTGACTAAAAGCCGAATGCTCCTGTCTCTGGTTCCCGTTAGCAGCCGTCGGCATATACATTGAACGCAATTTTTTGTTGTTCAACAACGCACACAAGAAATTTCTCACTGGCCACCACCTTGGTGGTCCAAATGTTATACTTGTTAGACACTACTAACAGCTACGAGGGCACCGAACGAGTGCCGCTATAAGGAGCTTCGCCCCTAAAATGTAGCCGGCGTGGCCAGGATGCGATCCTGCGACACGAGGGTCAGCAGTTACAATGGTCGGCTACAATGGCCTTAGCCGCTGCATAATTGTGGCGAATTTACTGAGGGGTTTTTGTAGTTGGAAAATACTGCACAAGTGCACCAAGTTGACAATGTTGGTTGATGCTATTTTTTGATAATTTAAATGTGTTAGTACAAGGCCATCGAAGAAAGTACAACAACTAACGAGCGCGGACTAGCAACATATATTTTACTAAGTGAAATATGCACATATATACATTAGCATAAAAGGGGATAGGTGGTCATGTGAATGATTCCATCTGTCAAGTAAATTTTGCGTCGAGGTGTGCTCAATGCCGTCAGCAAGCAGCACTATCAAATGTAGGATTGATTGATTGATTGATTTGTGGGGCTTAACGTCCCAAAAACCACTACATGATTATGAGAGACGCCCGTAGTGGAGGGCTCAAGAAATTTTGACCACCAGGGGTTCTTTAACGTGCACCCAAATCTGAGTACAGGGCCTACAACATTTCCCCCTCCATCGGAAATGCAGCTGCCACAGCCGGGATTTGATCCCGCGACCTGCGGTCAGCAGCCGAGTACCTTAGCCACTAGACCACCGCGGCGGGGCTATCAAATGTAGGAGCTCTACGAGGCTCATGCGATACTTAAAACACGTGGACGCACCAGAGATCTATCGGTGCTGCCTGCTTGCTGACTTTTAAGTACAATTACTCGACGCTAAATTGCATGAGTAATAAAGAGTTCTTCGCGTATATATATATATATATATATATATCTATATAGATATATATTATATATTATATATATATAATATATATATATATATATTATATATATATAATAATATAATATATATATATATATATATATATATATATATATATATATAGACGACCACAATGGCCGAGAGTGTTTGTGCTTGCTATTGCAATGAAATGAATTGTTTCTTTTCCAAAGATTTTAACACGTCAAACCATTGTGTCTCATCTGCATGATTACTTCTTTTCCACAGCAACGGAGTTGTGCACTGTCGATGGATTAGAAACTCCGTACCGGTTGTGGTATGTAACGCTTTTTCTTCTTCGAAAAGTTCATGGAACTAGCTACCACTGTCAATTACGGCATTCTTTAGATACTTATGCAACAAAATTGTCAACCGTTTCAGTGAAAGTTTGTCACAAAGAAGTCATATTCGAAGACATTGATGGAAGAAGTTTTTTTAGCGGCATTTGAAAGACCATGGACTTGTAATGGTGTCCTCATTACTTTTTTTTTGGAATTTCCGATCACTGAAGCCCTTAAACTTCAGTAATCAGCGCAATGACAATAAGAACTTCTTTGAACTGGGTGATACTAAAATACTTTTTGGGCCTCACTCCCGTTTCGTAAATGCAAGCATTGAAGATATCGCGAACCTAGAGCATCTTTACGTGCATGTTTTCTATTCTAAGTGTTCTCGGCAGCAATGAAATATCTCGCTTTTGAACAGCGAAAATATCTGGTATAAAAACAAAACTAGACAAAAAAGAATCAGTCGTGGTAAACACCCTTGCAAACTTGTAGTGCCCTTGTCTATAATCAGTCACTTATGGCTAGCTGTGAAGAGAACCCACAATCAGCGGCTTTATTTTAAATGTCACGCATTTTTTAGTGAATAAAGGCACTTGGGTCTTTTTGTCTACGTATACATTTCTCTAGCCGCCCTTGTCAAGCCACTTTCCTAAATATCTCCTTAAATTTGTATGATAATTGGATACGAGGATCTGAGGGCAACGACCAAGATGACTGTATGATAATTTGAAGCAAACAGGCTTCGGTCAAATTGGAACACATTCATCTTGAAGTATTTGAGCACACACATGGGGGCGAAATAAGACACACAAACGTGCGCCCTCATTTTTGTCTTCGTGTGGTTGCTCATATACTTCAGATGTAAATGGTAATGACAGTTATAACACGAAAATCCCGCCAGTCACGTGTGGCATATACGCAATCACAGGTTATTCCATTGATCATAGTAAGGTTATTCACATTGACCTACTAGACGGCAACAGACGAGAGCAGATGACAGCATGCTTTATTCTTCCTCTTCCTAACATCCTTTCACCACCCACAAAAATGAGGGTGGTACTCACCTTCTACTTTTTCTTCTTTCTCTTCCCTCAGCCACACTTCCTTTTCTTGTCCCTCTGTACATGGCTCTACTTGTCTAATACCATAAATTATTATTCTAAACGTTATCATCTTTCTTCATATTATCAGTCCTCCTCACACTCGCATAACGGCTGCTCAACCCCGATTTTCCACGCTCTTGCTATACGAAATATTTTGTTGTGCTACCAAGGAGATAAAAGAAGCCCTTTTCATCTGAGCTCCAGAAGTGGAACGCGTCAACATACTCTGGTCATATTTAACGCAGGCGCAAATAAAATTTCAATGGGAAGTGACATGCGCTGATCTGCGGAATATTTGCTGGTGTTTACGATGAAGCATAGGTGAATTGTTTCGTTCACATTTAGTTCTTTTCGCTACATCTCGTCCATCACTCTCTACCTGCTATTTGAATCCTCACCTATATTGACACGTCGCAAAATATTCGAATGAATCGCAGAAGTACGAGCATAGTCCAGCGAAACTGCGTAATTCTTCAGTGTAGTAGGTTTCGGGAATTCAGTGACTGCTCGTAGTTTTGCAGGGTTGGGTAAAACACCATGCTTGGAAACGATGTGCCCTAACATGTACATCTCTCGCGTGGCGAAGCGGCACTTTTAAGGTTCCGTTGGAGCCCAGCGTTGGTTAAACACGTCATAACCAGTTGCGCCGAAACAGGTTTGTAGAAAAATCGGGAGAAAAAAACGACGATGTTGTCGAGGTAGCATAGACACAGACCACTTCAGTCCCGCAGTGGTTGTCCACGAGTCGTTAAAACGCGGCAGGAGCATTACAAAGTACAAACGGCATTACGCTAATTCGTACAGGCCATCTGGTGTAATGAACGCAGTTTTCTTGCCATCAGCTTCTGCCATAGGAACCTGCCAGTATCCAGTTCGTAAGTCCAAGGAGGAGAAGAGTTCGGCTCCTTGGAGGCTGTCAAGGGTGTTGTCGATGCGCGGTAGTGAATAGACGTCTTTCTGCGCCACCTTG